CCCCAAAACCCCAAAACCCCATTAGATTATATTTACTGATAATTCATTGAGAATCATATATTATAAGTATTTAAATAATTAAATCACCTTAATCAAAAATGAAAAAACCTTTTTCGAGTCGATTAAAACGTTTTCTAAAAAATTTTGACTAGTTTGGCACTCCTATTTAACTTACGTTTAAAAATAAGCCCACCTCCTAATCTTTATTTGGAGGAATAGTTAGCCTAATTGTAATGACATTTTTTCTATACTTGATAGTTTCAAGTTTAATATCTATGGTCAATAGGGAACAGCACTCAATTTCTAAGTCAGTTGAAATCAGAAATCAAGCAACTGATAAAAGAATCGTTAAGTTAGACTCTAAGAATTTTGACATAGGATTTCTAATATAAAACTTGAATAAAACTGATGTAGATGTATATGAATATGTATCTTTACTTGTTACAAATTCAGCATTTGAATTCAATGGCGAAGCAAAATTTATAAGTGAAACTAAATAGTACATGACTCTTTGTGATCCTGATAGATTTCTTGGAGTATTAAAGGGTAATACTGATATTAGAATTGCAGGAAAATATTTTTGTCCTCCATTAAACTATTCAATTGAAGTATTCGGAACTTAAGTTTCATAATACTCTAAATCAATGAATATTAGAGTAGAAGTTTGCACCAAGAAATGGCTTTAATAGATTTATGGTTTAAATACAACAGCAAAATGCAAATCATAATAAGAATCTAAATAAATTATGGAATACTTAGCCTTGTATTATATTTACACACAGTAAAATTTTGATGAATCAGACTTTGTCAATCCTATAAAGAATCATTTAAAAGTAGATTTATTCTTTCTAAACCCTGCCTTAATGTAATCGTTCACTTATAAACTTTCTTAAAATTAAGCTATTTTAAGTGATTCATATATATACTCTGGTTTAAATCCTTAGATTTTATCATACTTTTCTGTTTCAAAAGATTATGTGTTAAATAGTCCCTTTTTTGATGGTTAATAGTTAATAAATCTAGAACTAATACTTGATGAATAAATATTACTAACGACTAGAACAGTAAAAACTATTTTAGAAGTTTTAGGAGAACTTGGAGGAAAATTCACTATAGTATTTGGTCTCACCTCACTACTGCTTCGTAATATTGAAGAATTTATGTTTTTCAAGAAGCTACTTAGAAGCCTATATCTTTTTACCAGAATTCCTATTGTAAAAGAAGAATGTATAAATGTAGAACAACAGAATGACACTAATAATGATAGTGATTCGGTATAAAATAAATAATAAACCAATGAAAAAGGTCAAAAAGATTCTGAATAGTAAATGAAAGAAAATAGTAATCCTGGCAAATGAGATAAAATTATGAAGTAATTAGAGCAAGGTTTTAAATAGACGTTTAAAATAGACATTCCTATATTTGACTATTACCTTTATCAGATTTAAAAGCGATTAAGAGTTATCAACTGTTGCTAAAGAAGAAAGCTTGCTACTGATAAACGAATTGAACTTTTAATATTTGCAATAAAAGACATTAGAAAGGAATTCGAGATAACAAGACTTATCAGTATGAGGAAAAAGTTGAAAGTAATGAGAGATAAGCTTCTTACTTAATCCCAAAAGAAAAAACAATCTCTTATTGCTAAAATGATAAAACATAAGCTTAATAAAAATGCTAATTAATATCCAAAAATTCAAAGAAATTTTAGTTAAACAAATAAAACTAAAGTGCAAATTGTAAATGAAAAGAAATCTAACTTAACTATTAATACCTTATTGTAGCGAGATTAAATTGAAGAAAATATTGATTATTCTAACTAAAGTTTTACTAATTAATTATCCCCTAATCATCACAATGCTATCAGTGAAGCAGATTAAACAATAATGTCATTTTAATTAGAAGAAGAAATAAGAATGTAGAAATTCTGATAACATAACTCTGATTGATTTTATGAATCTACTTAATAAAAAACTTGCTAAAGCTCTTGAAAATTAGTTGTTGCTACTTGCTTGAATAAAGTTGACATTTTACTTTTGAAATAATACTTATATAGAAACTCATATTATTTCTTTTAATTAAAATAGCATATCACTAGCCTTATTAATTTTAGCATTTATTAAATGTTTTATATGGGGTTTTGGGGTTTTGGGGAGATCGGAAGAGCACAC